TGGTGAGGGGGGGGGGCCAGCCGATATGGCGGTCGCAGTCCACTCACAACATCCAAGTCCGCAAAGTTTAGCATCCGGCTGACTGAGTGATGGATGGATCGATCGATAAGTAGAAACTTCTTTCCATCTATAAGAAACTTTTTCGCTTCTGTTTTCCTGTTCTCTTGTTTGTTTCCTGTCTGAATTTCTTCGTCCTGAGTTAGCTAGTTAGTTTGTTGCTTCCTTGAGACAAAAAAGAAAAAAAAAACGGCAGAACTTGGCAGTGTTTTATGTTTTTTCTTCTGCTCCAAATCCCAGAAAACGAGTTTTTCAGTCTCCTCTTTTCATCCTTGTCTGGTTTCAATGTTTCGTTCACTCATCGTATGTTGCCGGCATGGGACACGAAGATCACACGAAATCAGAACTTCGTTATACCGATGACTTGGTTCGGCTCAGGATTTTCGGGTTCCTCACGAGTTTGCTGATTTTGAGCTCGGCTCCCCGTATCTGTAAATTAAATAGGGATTCGTGGTTTAAAATTAAAAAAAAAAAACATGTGAAAATGATTTTAAAAAAAAAAAAGATTACACCCCCTCATGTATCTAACGAAGATTTAAGAATTTCGTATGCAGCTAATGTGATGATATGCAAATAGAAACTCTTATTCGATCAATCAGATACACAACTGAGATCGCATTTCGTGTAGGCAGCTTTCTTGGGAGTAACGAATGGTCGAAAGGGGGAATGTATTTTCAAGGTTCATCCTGAAACAAAGCCTTTGGAACAGAACTAGAAGGCGGAGCTCCGATCTCTTTCTCAACGGAGTCGTTTGTTCTGTTGTAGTAAGACCGTTTGCTCCCTGTCACCGGTGTCTCGCATACCCTGTCACAGCCCGTCCATCTTTCGTCTCCGTTCTTCCTTTTCGAGACTCTTTGCTTCTGTTCCGATCTCGCTTTCGATGTCTTTGCCTGCTTCGGTGCCCAAACTCTCTGAAGATCAGGCATCCAGCTTGTGAACGAGGCGAATCTCCGAGCTCTCTCCCTCCGTTCTCGGACACCGAGTAATTTCCTAGCTTCCTCGTCTCTCCGTCTCGCTTCTCTGCACTCCGCTGTGTTTTCCCGCGAGTGGGTCTTCTCACCCGCATGCTTGTTTTCTTTACCCGATTGGCCGCTTTCCTCGCTGTTCAGGAAGCTGTCTGGAGGCTCCTCGTCGGTGAACAGAAGCAAATCCATTTTCGTGTAAATGTTTTTAACGACTTCTCCAAGAATGTGATGATATCTGAAACAAAAAAAAAAGGACAGATTAAGCATTACCAGATTTTCCCTGATTCCTCTACAGCTCACACTTCAGGAGAAGGCATCAAGGCTCCAATCTCCAAAGATGGTGTTAGTATTCTTACCTGGCTTTTATTGTCTTGTCCACGTACTTATCAAGGCTCCAATCTCCAAAGAATCCGCCATCTAGTTTGCACTGTATGGCCTCTAGAAGCAAGCAAACATGTTTTACAAACTTCTGCTTCATAGACTCTTCAGTTCCCAAACCTATCTCTGATCTTAGGATCTCCATTCTGAAAAAAATCTGCAGCTCATATCTTATGGCTTGTTAAAGAAAAACGGAACACACACTGCAATGGTAATGATAACAAAGATCAAGCAAAAGGGCATCATGGATAGTGTAAGCAAACATAGAAAAGGATACTCTCTAACAATGCTTTTTGGTGCAGTTTCAGCTGAACTGGGTTCACATGCGTCAGGAGATGATTCCTTCTTCTTGTGTTTGGGGACTAAATCCTTCGGCTCTTTCAGTAGCAGCTTTGTTAGCTCCTCAGTGACTGTAGTAGCATAAGCAGTTTCCATGGATTCCATCACGGGAGCTCCATTTTCGCAGTTATCTTCCTTTTCACATCTCCGAGAGAAGTAGAAGATACAAGAGTTGACAATTCGCTCTGCCAAAGCGGCCAAGTCTACTTCCTCGGACTCGATCCCTTGCTTGATTTTATTGGGGAGACCGCCAAAGAAACTCTCTGATGACTCTGACGCAAAATTAGATCTTTCATTTTCTGCTGTCTGGGAATTGGAATGTCCGGTCGAAGCAATGTCCTCCTTGGAAGCAGATGAATGGACCGAATTTTCTGTCTCTTCAGACAAGTTGTCAACTTCATTTGTATCTGCTTCTACCTCTCCGCATGGCTTGCAACTGCTAGATACAGACAAGCTACAACCACTAACTTTCTTAATCTGTTTTACCCAGCATTTCAGAAACTTCAACTTCTTTGAGTTGCTGAACTTAGAAAAGTAAGCATCTTCCAGCTCAAGGTCAGGGTAATTGTTCACTGACCTACAGAACTCAGCCCAAGTAATGTCCTGTAAATTCAGAACACCTTTGTCCGATTTTCTCTTGTGTTCGCTAGGATAGACTTTTGTCCTGCATGTTGTCTGCTCTAAAGTCATGGGAGAGACACCATTGTCCAAAACAGAGATGAAAGCTGAAGAAAAGGTGAAGGGCTTGAGGATTCCCATCCATGAACAGCCATTGCAGTCTGAAAGTGAAACCAAAACTGAATAACCTTCTCTGTAGATAAAACTTAGTAAGATCTGCCAAATGGGTAACGGTCTTTTTATTACTCTCCCATCGGTCTCCCTCGCTAGTATTTGAAGAACCCGATCTGCCCAAAACTCACTCTCCTCCTGATCTTGGCCAGATTCTCCAAGGACTTCACGAACAACAAAGGTACCACGTGTATACTTATCCAGTTCCATAAGATCATCACAGATCCTCATTGCTTTGACATTAATTTCGGTGATTCCATCACCAAATTGCTCAACAAAGGAGGCTTGAAGTGACTCCTTGGGTCCGTTAGCCTTGCTGATGAACTCCTCAGACCTATTCCTATGAGATGTTTTCAAGTAAACTAGTTCTAGCTCACTACACTTGCATTCAAGAGGTTTACCATTAACATCTATGATCTCGAGACTGGTCTTCTGTACGCGAAATTTTCTGCAGTATTCACCAAAACTGAATACCTTGGGAGAAACACCAATTGCTGGATAAATCAATCCAAAGGGAATGGCGGAGGAACAAAGAACAATTGAATCCGTAGAACAAAATCCCCAACCCAATTCCTTAATCCCGCTCTCTAAAAACCCTAATTTCAATCCAGAGTTGCTTCTCTCAACTGAATCAACTTCACACTTCACGTCAACCCAGGTTAAGTGAATATCTCTACCAACGAACAAGTCATTCACAGTGTTGAAAATCCCTCCTAACTTCGATTTAAACGAATTCAAATCGCTCAGACACTCCTCCTCGATACCGACATCCAAGAACTCAGAAACCCATTTCATATCCCTAGACAGTGGTGAAAAAAGCACGACCAAATTCGACTTGACGAAATCAAACCCATCATCAGCAAGCCCTAGGACCGTACCTATCACCGGATCTCGAACCACCAGCTCCCAATTGTAATCGTACACGATCTGACGCATCGATGCCGCGACATAAGCCCCACGAGACGTCGACGCGGAAGAGGAAGAAGAACAGAGGTTGGATCGTTTGAGGGCGCCGAAGGCGCGTGAGAGAGAGGGGAGTGTAGGGGTAGGGAGGTCGAAGGAGAGAGAAGAGGCGAGAGAGAGAGAAGAGAGCTTGGAGGAAGATAGAAGAGGAGAAAGAGAGGAAAAGAAGAGCTTGAAGGAGAAGAGAGATGAAGAGAGACGAGGGAGAGAGAGGAGCTTCTCGGCGGCGGAGAAGACGACGGAGAGGTACGGGTTCGGGTCGGGAAGGTGAAGAACCGGGTCGAGATCAATGAGTAGCACAATACGCTGCGTTTTGGCGTATAACATATCTGTAGCCATCGGGGGGGGGGGGGGGG